ACTTCCTCCCTGAGTATCATTGGCTCTTGTTCATATAGTACCTCTTGAAATTAACCATTTCCTTTTGATACAATGATTCTATGTATTCCTTCCATCTTCTCTTGATGCATTCTGTCATTCAATAATTTGCCCAGAGAATCTTTCAATAACGAAAGTCGGGGCTTGAATTTTTTCTTCAGTTCCCCCAGCTTGAGAAATGTTGACCATGTTCTTCCCTTTTGGTTTTCTAGTTCTAAATCTTTGCATATTTTATTATAGTATCTGGTTTATAGTGGGGTGTATAGATAGGTGTATAGTGGGGGACAACAACACTAGTAAGGTAGCTCAACATTGAATGGTCTATCATGCAAAATCAAAAGGGCAAAATTTATCTAAGGGCCAAGTCAAGATGGGATGGGAGGTGGATGGAATGGAAATAGGAAATTGGGAGGAAGCAGAATAACTTGTTGTATGGATGGGATTGCAGTCATTGAGATGAAACAAAGTATATGATTTGTTGAGTGTAAAATTGATGATCTTGTCAGTAAACTTTCATCCAATTCACAATGTTTTTTGTTTTTTTTTTTAATTAAATGATGTATTAGGCATATCTGTTGCACAAGACCTCTTTAAAGGTCAAGAGTAAAGATACCTGTTTGAGGACTAACGTGAACCTCACCTAGTCAGGGTATTTTCAGTAGTTTCATATGCTTGTGGAAGTTGGACAATGAATAAGGAAGACCCTAGAAGAACTGATGTGTTTGGGTTATGGCGCTGGAGAAGAATATTGAAAGTACCATAGACTGCCAGAAGAACAACTAAGTCTGTTGGAAGAAGGATAGCCGGAATGCTCCTTAAGGAAGTCAGGGTGGCAAAATTTTATCTCATCCTTTCAGACATGTCATCGGGAGGGACCTGTCCCTCGAGAACAACATCATGCTTGGTAAAGTGGAGGGTCAGCCAAAAAGAGGAAGACCCCTCCAGTGAGATGAATTGGCACAGTGGCAGCAGCAGTGGGCTCAAGCGTAACAATAATTATGCGGATGGCAGACCAGGCAGTGTTTCGTTTTGTTGGGTTTGCATAAGGTTGCTATGAGTCTGAACCAAGTGGATGGCACCTAACTACAAATATAATACTTGATTTGTTATAAGCACTGTTCTAAGCACATTAAGTCATTTCTTTCCTTTTGCACAATTCTTATGAAATATACTATCCTGAAGAGGAGGATGAAGAAGATGAGGAATCAATTCTAATCTCTCCGCTTCCCACCTGAGGAAGTACTGATCACTTTTTGGTATAAACTTTTGCAAGTATATAGCCATATAAATATTGAGTGTATTTCATAAAAATATGAATCCTTCTACATGTACAGGTATTTTTTTTAATAGAGTGAGACGTTGGTTTCTTCCACTCAGTAGTTCCTGGGGGCTCTGATGTTAACCCATACATCTGTAACCCTTCGTCTCAGTGCATCTTGACCACCACCTCTGCAGGGATCTCATTGCCCGTGATGCTGACACCAGATATCTGGCTGCTTTTCTCAGCATTACTTACACTTCCCAAGAATGATCTGGGCCTCAACGATCTGTGTCACATAAAGAACTGAGCTCCCCTGTGACCAAGGCAGTGGGAGGGTCTTTGTACGGTGAGACAGCTCTGCTGATACTCCATGGGCACAGAGTAAGCCAGCACAGTGAGTCCCCATCAGACTTCTCTATCCGGAATTTCTTCACCATAGCTATAGGAACAACAGGCACATTTATGTACAATTTTTAAACCTGATTTTTTTTTTTTTTTTTTTTTTCATTTAATGTTAAGTGCCATGGAGTCGGTTCCAACTCATAGCAACCCACTGTGTGGGTTGTGGGAGCAGAAGGTCTCATCTTTCTTCCACGGAGCAGCTGATGAACTCAAACTGCCAACCTTCTGGTTCAAAGTCCAGTACTACAGAGCCACTGTGCTCCCTCCACGTCCTTAATGCCTTCCTCCTTCCCACTTCCTTTCTGGATGACATGCTCTTCTAGGCTGCTGTAGTTCTCTTCTCTGGCACCCCAGATGAGACCCCCATCCTCTCCACTTTCCGCTTCCCCCCCAGGGCTAGAGCCAGCCTATGAGGCACAGGAGTCCTTGGGGGGCATGAGGCTGTTGCAGGACCTTCTTCACCACGGTGGCCCTACTATGCATGAAGACCCCCCCTTAATCTGCCCCTTGGGCCTTGCAGGGGCTTCATGGACACTGTGTCCACAGGTGCCCTTTCCCACCATGGTGGCTCTGCTGTGCATGTGGTTCGGGATCTCCCTGCCCCTCGTCTACTTGGGCTATTATTTCGGCTTCCGCAAGCAGCCATATGACAACCCTGTGCGTACCAACCAGATTCCCCGGCAGATCCCTGAACAGCGGTGGTACATGAACCGGTTTGTGGGGTGAGTTTTTGGGTAGGGGGCCTCTAGGGTGGGTGAACTAACAGTGCCCTGAGCTGTCCCTCCAGGAGGACATAGAAAAGGATACCCTTGCCCCCACTTCCCCTGGGATGCTGTGTCTTAGGTTCCTGCAGTTCCTCTCAGCTCTAGTTGTTAAGTGCCAACAAGTCAATAAGGCCTAAGAAGCCTAGTCTCCACTCTAAGCTAAAGAGAACCAATTTGTAGCCTAGGAGCCAGGATAGGGAAGGGGAGGGGTGGTGAGACAGATTAGGCCATCATTACCCTTCCTCCCTCTCAAAAGGTTGTAATGGTACAAGAGCATGCCCCAAAAGAGAGGTTCCGCGTACCTGTGTGAGCACTGTCTCTGTTAATACTCCCTTCTGCCACAGCATTCTCATGGCTGGGATCCTGCCCTTCGGTGCCATGTTCATCGAGCTTTTCTTCATCTTTAGTGTGAGTACTGTTGCCTGACACCTCCTCTGCCCCCACCCCCTTGATCCCAGCCCCTGCAGAAGTGTTCTGCCTTTGACTCTGCTCTAGCAGGCCACTTAGCCTCTCGGAGCCCCCAGTCTTCACTGTGAAGTGGGAGTGACAGTCTGCCTCTTGGAATGACTTTAAAGATCAGATGAGGTGTATAGGGTCTGGTGTGTGGGGAGGGCCCAGTAAATAGAAACTGCTTCCTTCAGTCACATTGCAGTGAATCACCACTGTTACTCGTGTCTTTGTGGCATCTGCTTTGATTGCTGAATCCCTACTTGTTTTTACCTTGGTTATGCATTTTAAAAATCTCAGGGAAATGGGAGGCATGCTTCCTAACGCACACAGGGTCACTGCAAGGCTGAAATAAGATCCTGATGGTGAAAAGCTAGTGCTTGGCCTGCAGGAAGTGTGGCTTCAACAGAGCCAGCTGTGGTTGAGTGCTCCCTAGTCACACAGGGCAGGCTGACCCAGCGCAGTGTCCAGCAGAGAGCTGGGGCTCACACCAAGTTTACTAGACAAGGACACACTGCTCCAGGTGGTGCAGCCCTGCCTAAGAAGAGGCTCAGAGAATGGGTCAGCTGCCATGGGACCTGTGCCTTCTCTCTGGGAGGAAAGCTTTTTGCATCCTGTGTGTGGGGTGCTGGGCCAGTTCCACACATGCCCCAGCCCTTCCCTAAGACCAGCCTGCCTTAACCTCTGCTCCATGCCCAGCCACAGGCCTTCATGGTGCCCTGCTGGTATCTCCATGCCTACCCTGATGTGATGTGCAGGGTAGGGGCAGCTGTAGGGGCAGGCCCTGAAGGCCAGCTGTGGTGTGTCCACAGGCTATCTGGGAGAATCAGTTCTATTACCTCTTTGGCTTCCTGTTCCTCGTCTTCATCATCCTGGTGGTATCCTGTTCCCAAATCAGCATCGTCATGGTTTACTTCCAGCTGTGTGCAGAGGTGAGAGGAATGGGGCCAGACGTGGGAAGTGGGGACTGGGGCCAGCATTGAACAGGTTAGTGAAGTTGTACAGAGAGGCTAGTCTGACTTCCCAGTATTGTCCCCCCATTTCCTGGATCTGAGGTCTTGAATAAGTCACTTCACTTCTCTGAGCCTCCATTTTTCAACTTTACACTGGAGTTAATGCTACCTACCTCGCAGCATAGTCATCACAACTTCATGAGAGGACAGTACGCTTGTCATATCAAGTCCACTCCAGTAATAGTTTTTCCAACAGCCTCGTGCAGACTGGGTGACCCCTCCTCCCTCTGAAGTCTTGCTCTTGGCAGGGTGGGGCAAGTGGCCTGGCCTGGAGTCCCTGCTCCTCCACTTAGTGCTCTGGAGCCTGGGCAACTTGCTTCACCTCTCTATGCCTTCTGTTCCTCTAGTGAGACAGGGATAGTAGGTACCCAGCAGGGCCAGTGCCAGGATTATGTGAGCCAATCCTGCATAATGTGGAAAGGTGCCTGGCATGTGGTGAGCATTTGCACAGGAAATGTATTAGCTGTTGTTCTATTTGTTGATTTTGTTAAATTATGGAATAATTTATAAGCATTAAAATTCACTCCTTGGTGATTTACAATCTTGTGAATATTTAGAAATACACAATCATATAACCACCATCACGGTCTACCTAGAGAACATTCCCATCACCCCAAGCATTACTGTTGTTACACAGTCTTTAGCCTCAGGAAGCTGGGAAACTTTACAGGAAAAGGGGCTGCTGGGGAAAGGATAACCCTTCCTTTGTTTCCTTCTCAGGATTACCGCTGGTGGTGGAGGAACTTCCTAGTCTCCGGGGGATCTGCGTTCTATGTCCTGGTCTACGCCATCTTTTATTTTGTTAACAAGGTACCACCCTACTCAGGATAGGATGTGCAGCAGAGGGTGCTGGGAGGAGTGGGGGAACCACATGCCTGAATGTTACTTTCCCACCAAGATAGTAGAGGACTAGAGCCATTCTAGAACTGCTCATGAACATGTATGTTTTTAGGAAGGAGAGAATCTACATTTCAGGTTCCGGTTCTGTATGCTTGGGAGGCAAAAGCCTTCAGGAGAAATGACAATGAACTTTTGGAAACCCCCTCAGATTGCATGGCAAAACCTATGCAATGCACCCAAAGCCAAACTGAAAGAAGCATGGCACCTCACAATGAATGCATATATTAGGAAAAAAGAGTTTCTTAACACAGTTTTCACCTCAAAAAGCTAGAAAAGAGGAACAGTAAAGTAGAATAAAGAAAGTTGATGAGAGGAGTTACCGAAAATGCTGAAATAGTCTTTAGAACCTAAATTTAGGGCCTCAAGCTTCCTGTCTTTGGAAGCTTCTCCATTCAAGTACTGTCAGTCCTGCAGAGTAGAGAAAGGGTGGGAAGGGCTTCACCTGCTTCTAGGAGGCAAAATGCAAAGGATCCCCACATGGTCTCAAGTAGCTCATGAATGACGAATAAGCAAGATGGGCCACTGAGGGGAGTTTTGGGTAACTGGTGGTCCCCTGTCCTCTGAGGCTAACACTGAAACCTTGCTTCTACCCAGTGCCAAAAAGCCAAAATGCAAGTAGTCCCCAGCCTGCAGCCAATGTTTGTTTCCAAAATGGCATTGTAGATTGGTTAGTTGAAACTTAGGATACCCTTTCCCAAAAATGCCAAGCCGGAAAGGGTTTTAAAGATGATTTAGTGCAGTGTCCCACTCCTGTTTGTAGGTGATCCCCTGGTACAGCGGCCAGCAAACCAGTTTGGGCCAATGAGCCTGCTTATGTACATAAAGTTTTATTAGAACACAGCCAAGCTCATTTGTTTATGTATCATCTGCAGCAGTAGCAGAGTTGAGTAGTTGCTTTAGAGACCAGAAGGTCCGCAAAACCTAAAGCCTTTATGATCTGACCCTTAATGAAAATGTTTACCGACTCTGGATCTGGAACATTCAGTGATAAGAGAGGACATTTCCTCTTGACATGTGTCCTCTGGACAGCTGCTATCATTATCAAGGTTTTCTGTGATCCACACTGAGATCTGCCTTTGTGTACCCACCCCCAGGCTCATCCAATACCAATTGAACAGCCCTCCACTACAGGTAGATAGATCATAACAATCAAGACCCATTTGAGTGGCAAGTGACCCGACTTAGTTCAGAACTGGGGTAAGCCAAGAGGAATATATAGCTGGTGTAACTGGAAAGGCTACGAAATTCTATCCAGGGCTCAGTCACACTGCAGGCAGTCCCAGGGAAGACCTCATTGGGTTGCATGGCCCTCCCTCAGCTGTTCACCTAGGCCATTCAGATAGCTTGTTCTGACTGACTAGCTTAGGTCCTAGACTAGGAACCACAGAGTAGGGGGTAGGTTCCCCAACATGCCTGGAAGAAGGGAGACAGGAAATGGTGTAGGACAAACAAAACCAGCTACTGTAGCCTCCAGCAGTGAGCCCTGAAATCATGCCCCAGCCTCCTACCCTTCCTCCTTTCTGCCCTGAAGTCCCCTTTTGGCTCCACTTGCTTTCTGGATGGTATGAAGGTCTTGGCCTGCATAAGGCCTAAGAGCCTTTCCAGCTTTGCCCCGGCCCCCTTTTTTTTAACCACCAACTGCCCCTTCCCCTCACTCTCACCCGCTTTCCAGCCATGAGAATGTTAATAAGGAGAGATAGGGATTGAACCTGCCAATATGGTCTTCACCACCAGTTTGAAGGTACTTGCTGGAGAAGAGGCTTAAACCTGTGCCTTTTGTCGCTTTCTTCTGGGTTCCTGACATTTTATGCCCATTTGTTTGCTCATGAGCCAACACACCCCACCTCCAGGCCCTAATGGTACCACAGCACCAGGCTAGTGTTACTTGTCCCCATAGACACTACAACACAGATCCGGGACCCTTTCCAGACCTTGAAGCTCAGTTCCAGTTAGAAAGGAGTCTAAAAGGTGCCCAGAATAAAACTCAGTGTGAGATTTTTACAGAAGTGACTGAAGAGCCTCTGGAAGAAAGGAATGTTGACTGAGGCAGGCTGTGGGTGGCATGCTGGTCACCTGAGGCCTCCCCAACCCTGGCTGCTCCTTAGGTTACCCAGGAGTCCTCTAATGAGGAGCCTCCAGAGGAGTCCCCTGACCCAGGGAGGGGCATTCTAGCTGGTGTCCCAGTCTTCTCTGGGAAGATTCCTACCCACCGTGAGAAATGACCTTGGCCAGTAGCATTGGGCCTTGGGTTTCTAGTCCTGTAGTCCCAGGTGTGGGAGTCCTGGTGTGGCACTGTATACGGGATAAGCATTGGACCACAAGGTCGGCGCTTCAGAGCGACCAGCAGCACCTCGGAAACCCTATACAGGTTCAGATCCCAGTGCCCTCTTCTGCCTCATTATGTTTCCATGGGTGGGGTTTCATCACTTTGTGCCCCATCAGTCAAATGAGCTGCCCTCTCAAGCTGGTCATGAGTGCACCAGGCAGTGCTGCTACATACAGAGGCTGGCCATGGCTGTGAACTTAACCAGCCCCTCACTGCACACCTGGAGCACTGAGGACGGGGGCCCCACAGTTTGGCCTGGCCAGCTGGCACTAAGCATCCCTCTCTTTCTCTCATTCTGCCCCAGCTGGACATTGTCGAGTTCATCCCCTCTCTCCTCTACTTTGGCTACACGGCTCTCATGGTCCTGTCCTTCTGGCTGCTCACGGGCACCATCGGCTTCTATGCAGCCTACATGTTTGTCCGCAAGATCTACGCCGCTGTGAAGATTGACTGACTGACTGGGATGGACCATGGCCAGCCCACTCTGTCCTTGGACAGGAAAGTGACCCCGCGTGGGGACCTGCAGGCACGCAAAATAAACTAAATCCTGCTCGTTTGGAATGTAGCTCCTGGCCCGGTGTTCCTGGATCCTGGGGCTGTGTTGGGGGTGGGAAGATCTGTAGATAAACCTTGCATTTTTCTTCATCATCTTGTTCCAGTTCTGTGTAGGATGAGCTTTTCTGTGGGTTGTTTTTACTTCAGTGCTAAGAAACTTCCATCCAGCAGGAACTCTCAGACCTGTTCATTTCAGGTTTATTTTTGGTTTCAGGTGTTTTTTATGTTTTGTTTTATTTTTCATACATTTTGTAACAAGTGGATCCAGGAAGGATAAATCCACCAAGATACTGGGTTTTGGTCACTGTGTCCATCTCAGTTCCTCAGGGCTGTTGGCCATCCCACAACTACCTGGAAGAGGAGGTGCCAGGCCTTCTGGGGCTTCAGTGAGGTTTCAAGTTTCTCGCTGCTCATCCTTGCCATTGATTCCACCACAAAGCACAGCTCTAGCTTGGACCTGATCCCTCTCTACCAGCCCGTTTCCTCCCTTTGCATCCTCCCCAGCCTGCTCCTGGGGCTGCCCAAGGCAGGGCTTCTAGCCAGGCCTCTGGGGCAGCTTTCCTCCAGGAACAAACTCAAGTCTTGGTTGCTACAAGGAAATCCCCGGATGTACTTGGGGCTGAGATCCCTTGGACAGCAGGAATCACCCCAGTTCAGAGAAGTGGAGTTTGCTGGACCCAGAGGAGGAAGAGAAGAGACTCTTAGTGAACTGGCCACAGCACTGTGCCAAGAAACCCAGGACCTGGGGCCAAGTATTTTTAGGGCCCAGAGCCCACGTCTGTGCCTGGGAAGGGGTAACCGAGGCCATCAGGGTCTTAGCCCCATCAGGATTGCTCCCTAGCCAATGTGTTCTGGAGGTTGCTGCTGTTTCCAAAGTGTGCTAGTGATGGACCCCTTTGCCCCCTAGTCCCAGGCAGAACAAGGAGGCCCTACGATGTTGGGTCCCCCCCTTTCAGCGACTTGGCAGAAACATACTACCCCTCAGTGCCCACACTCAGCTTTTTTAGCCAGACCCATCCGCTCCACCTCTGTCTGAAATCTTGCCACACCTCCTTTTTGAGACTCCCAGAAAACTGCTTGTGAGAAGGAAGATGGAAAGTAAGTTCAATCATTCCTTCCCGAGTTCCTAGGAATAGGCAAGGAACTCAGGCTCCCCATGTTAGTTAAGAGAGAGCTATTGTGTCTGCCCTAGCTCCTCTGCTAGCCCCCACTCTTCCTCATCCCCCTGCCTGCCCCTCTTCGTGTCAAAATCCTTAGCTCTTAAGTTGGAAGAGACCAAACCCACTTTGGGATTCGAGTTGAAGTAACCACCACTCACCCTGTGCAGCCCTTTGGGGATGCCCACCACAGGACAAAGCTCAGGATGCTGCTTAAGCTAGGAACACCACCCCACCCTCCCCTGCTCCCTCAGCAGCCCTCACAGTGACTCCACAGTGCCAAGTGGTGTCCACCAAGAATCAGGTTGGAGAAAAGGGAACCCAAGCAGTAGAGAATGATGTCGAAGTCTAATGTCCATTCAGATCTTGGGCTTTTTGGTTTTTTTCTTTCCTAAGAGATTGTTTTTTGGGGAGGGAAGTAAGGAAATGGACTTCTCATATAGTGTCAGGCATCAATTTCTCTGACTTTTTAAATCATCATCATTTTTTAATTCAAATGCCTGTATGCCTTTTTGGTCCCGTTGTAAATAAATACGTCATCATCCTGTTATGTCTCTTGAATCTTGTGTTAGGGTTGTGGGGTCTGAGGTGTGATAACTTCCCGAGATGGGTTGGCGTGAGTGGTTTCCCTCAAAGTTCAATCTCATCTCAGGTTAAGTCTGAGCAAGCCACTGCTTTCCCCTCTGCCTGTCCAATGCACAACCTCTCCCATCCATTCCACCCCTCCATAACTGTATTGCAAATATTTGCACTCTGATCCCACAAGCAGGAAATGACAATTGAGTGTGGGCTTTGGTGGCAGTAAAGACCTGGTTTTGTATATTTTACTGCCAAGTCATTCCACTTCCACCTTAGAGTACTCAATTGCATGCAACAGAAACAGACCAAACTTGCTTAAACCCCAACAGAATTCATTGGCTCATGAGCGAGGACAGGTGATTTGCTTTCGCCCTGATTGGATCCAGGTGCTCAAAGGATGGCTTCATGTCTCCCTTCACCCTCTAGGGCAGCTCAGGAAGGCAAGGGGCAGAGTAGGCTGATATCTGCCAGTTTAATCAACTCGGAGGAAAAAAGATGTCTCTCTCCCCTACGTTGATATATTCAATACATATTTATTCATCCCAGTAAAGACTTCTGCTGGGCCCAGCCTGGATTCTCCCATATTCAGGGGGCATGATGGTATGAGCATATGGAAGATCTGCTGCATACTGAATATCAGCCCCACCGGAATCATTTGGAATGGTGATGAGGAAAGAAGAGTTTGTCAAGGTAAGGTGTGCAAAGCAAACAAAACTAACAGCACTGTAGAATAAGCCCTAGACTGCTAACCACAAGTTCAGTGGTTCAAACACACCCGCGGCTCCTTGAAAACCATACAGTCACTATGAGTCAGAACCTACTCAACCCCACTTACCATTATGGCCCGCCCCCTCCAAGCCTCCAGTTTCCTTGTCTGCAGTGGGAAGTAGTGCTAAGAGCCACTGTTCCTGGCACTGTGTCATGTTTTCTATGTATTGGCCTATTTTAAATTATCTTGGTTCTGAGCCCCCGCCCCCCACCTCTGGTGTGGCACTGTAGGATAAACACTGAGGTCAATTGTTCAAACACCAGTTGCTCCTTGGAAACCCTCTACAGGGTTGCTATGAGTTGGAACCAACTGGACAGCACATAAAGCTGAAAAAAAAGGGGGGGGGGAGGGGCAGCTCTAGTACTCTAGTGTGGCACTGTGAGTTTAATGCCGTGGACTGCAAGGTTGTGGGTTCAAGCTGCTCCTAGGAAGTTCTATACAGGGTTGTTATGAGTCAACAGCACTTAAGAACAACCTGCTTCAAAAGGCAGGTTCTGGAGTCTGGTTGCTCACTCTATTATGGAAATCCAGCAAGTTAACAACTGAGTAACTGGTACCTGAGGTGGTGACTTGTTAAGTGAGATGGTTCCAACTCAGTGTCCGGGTATAGGGTTTCTGAGGAGTGGCTGGTGAGCGAACTGCCGACCTTGTAGTCCAGTGCTTATCCTACAGTGCCACACCAGGACTGCTTATGGAAGTATAACTAACAAAACAAAACTCGCATTTCTGGGTGAACCATAGTTATAAACCAACCCGGATAAGGCCTATTAAAAATCAGAGGGTCGTACAATGGTTCATAACAACAGGTGCTGCTTTGCAAGGCACATTAAAACATTATTACTGTATTCTACTGTTAAAGATGCTGTATGTAGTATATCTGGAAGTGTTTAATGGTTTTATGCATGGAAAGGTATTGTATATACTAAAATACTTAACTTTAGATACAAACCATGCCTGTTAGGCTAACTCACATTAGATGTGAACCATGCCTAATGGATCCAATTTAAAGACAGATTTAGGGTGGGAACTCGAACCCGGTGACTGCCTTGCAAAGTTTACTAAGTGTTAACACACATCTCTATAGCTGTGAACATGCCCACCAGCCTGAAAGTTTCTAAATGCCCCTTTGTTGTTGTGTTCTCCGGCTCTCCCATCCCCAGGAACCCACTCTTATAGATCAGTGTGTGTTTCCTATATTGGACAGTATAGCGCATTCCTTTTGCCTTTGACTTCTTTCATTCAACAATTTAAGATTCATCCATTTTATCTATATCAGTAGTTCATTCTTTTTTTCTGAGCAATATCCCATTGTACAGCTTTACCAATATTTGTTTATCCAGTCATCTGTTGGTTTTCCAGTTCAACTATTACAGATAAAACTATGAACACTCATAGACAATTCTTCGCGTAGACATATATTTCCTCTTCTCTTGGGTAAATACTTAGCTGTAAAATAGCTGGGTCATATGACAGATGTATATTTGACTTATACCGCCAAGCTGTTTCCTAAGGTGATTGGACCATGTTACATTTCCATCAGCAGTATGAGTCCTACTTCCTCCACATCCTGGTATGGTCAGCCTTTTTCATTGTTGCCACTGAAACAGGTACAAAGAGGTATCTCATTGTGATTTTAATTTGCATTTCCCTAGTGCAAAATATTAAGCATCTTTTCATGTGTATTTACTGTTCCTATATCTCTGGAATCCTGGTGTGGCGCTGTAGGAGAATGCACTGGACTGCATGGCTGGTTCAAACCCACCAACCTCAGAAACCCTATGTAGGATCTCTATGAGTCGGAACCGACTTGACGGCACTTAACAACAAACAACCTATCTTCTTTGGTGAAGTCTCTGTTCAGACCTTTTGCCCATTTTTTATTGGATTTTTTGTTTTCTTGTTTGGGGAGTTCCAGATATTCTGGGTAGATCAAATCCAAATCGTTTGTTTTACAAATATACTCTCCCAGTCAGTGGCTTGTGTTTTTTCTTTCTCTTAACAATAGCCTTTGAAGAGCAGAAGTTTTCGATTTTGATTAAGTCCAGTCTATTAATTTATTCCTGTATGGATTTTGTCTTTGGTATTGTATCTAAGACATCTTTATCTAACCCAAGGACACAGTGATTTTTCCCTATGTTTTCTTTTAGCACTTTTCTTGTGTTAGGTCTTACATTTAGGTCTGATCCATTCTGAAGTCATTTTAGAATATTGTGTGAGGTTTGAATCCATGTTCATTTTCTTGCATATGGAAATCCAGCTGTTAAAGGACCATTTCTTCAGAGGGCTGTTCTTTATCCTTTGATAAAATGATCCATAAATATGTGAATTTTTTAAAGGAATTTTCTTTCTGTTCCATTTATTTTTATGCCAGTACCACACTGTTGGCTCTCTGGTGGTGGTGGTTATGTGCCGTAGAATTGGTTCTGACTCACAGTGGCCTTGTATGGGATTTCCAAGGATGTCAATCTTTAGGGAGCAGAGAGCCTCATCTTTCTCCCATGGAACAGCTGGTAGATTTGAACTTTTGACCTCGTGGTTAGCAGCCCAATTCGTAACCCACTACGCTACCAGAGCTCCTCGTTAACTCCCTAGGTGGAGCAGACCACTAACTGCTCAGCCATTAGCTGGAAAGTTTGCAGTTTGAAGACAAGCCTGGCAATCCACCTCTGAACAATCACAGCCTTGAAGACCAATTGGAGCAGCCCCATGAATACAAAGAGAGTCTGGTTTTCTGTGTCAGGCACCATCTTAGGTTCAGGAAGG